TCCAAAAATTTTAAACAGTCCAATTCTAATTTTTCATTAACTGATTCAGTACTTTCCGAAGTGATTATGAATATTTCTGAAGTGATTCAGAATTTTGAGAAGTAAGTAAGAACATTGTTGAAGTGTTGAAGTGCTTCAGTACCTTTAGAAGTGATTCCGGTCGTTTCTGAAGTGAATCAATACTTTCCGCAGCGATTCCGATTTTTTAAATAAGTGATTCAGTACTTTCCGAAGTGATTCAAAACATTGCTGAAGTGTTTCAGTACCTTTCAAAGTTAATCCAATCGTTTTTGAATTGCTTCAGTACTTTCTGAAGTGATTCTGAATTTTTTAAACGGTCCAGTTCCGATTTTTTGTAAATTTATTCAATACTTTCCGAAGTGATTATGAATGTTTCTGAAATGATTCAGAACTTTTAGGAGAAAGAAAGAACATTGCTGAAGTGCTTCAGTACCTTTCGAAGTGATTCCGTACTTTCCGAGGCGATTCCGAAATTTTGAAATGGTCCAATTCCGATTTTTTATTAAGTGATTCAGTACTTTCCGAAGTACTTCATAACATTGCTGAAGTGCTTCAGTACCTTTCGAAGTGATTCCGATCGTTTCTGAAGTGAATCAGTACATTTCGAAGTAATTCCAAAAATTTTAAACAGTCCAATTCTAATTTTTCATTAACTGATTCAGTACTTTCCGAAGTGATTATGAATATTTCTGAAGTGATTCAGAATTTTGAGAAGTAAGTAAGAACACTGTTGAAGTGTTGAAGTGCTTCAGTACCTTTAGAAGTGATTCCGGTCGTTTCTGAAGTGAATCAATACTTTCCGCAGCGATTCCGATTTTTAAATAAGTGATTCAGTACTTTCCGAAGTGATTCAAAACATTGCTGAAGTGTTTCAGTACCTTTCAAGGTAAATCCAATCGTTTCTGAAGTGCTTCAGTAATTTCAGTAGTGATTCTGAATTTATTAAACAGTCTAATTCCGATTTTTTATTAAATTGTTCAGTACTTTCCGAATTTTTTTGAAAAGATTCAGTTCTTTTTAAAATGAATCCAAATGTTTATGAAGTTATTCAGTACTTTCCGAAGTAATTCAGAACATTTCTGAAGTGCTTCAGTACCTTTCGAAGTGATTCCGATCGTAATTGAAGTGAAATGGTACTCATCGAAGTGATACCAAATTTTTGAAACGGTCCTATTAAGATTTTTTATTAAGTGATTCAGTACTTTCCGAAGTGATTATGAATTAGTTCTGAAGTGATTCAGAACTTTTTGAAGTAATTCAGAACATTGCTGAAGTGCTATAGGGCTTCAGTACCTTTCGAAGTGATTCTGATCGTATCTGAAGTGAATCAGTACTTTCCGAAGTGATTCCGTAATTTTGAAACGGTCCGATTTTGATTTTTTTATTAAGTGATTCAGTACTTTTCGAAGAGATTCAGAACATTGCTGAAGTGCTTCAATGCCTTTCAAAGTGAATTCAATCGTTTCTGAAGTGCTTCAGTACTTTCAGAAGTGATTGTGAATTTTTGACACGGTCTAATTCCGATTGTGTATTAAATGATTCAGTACTTTCCGAAGTGATTATGAATATTTCTGAAGTGATTCAGTACTTTCCGAAGTACTTCAGAATATTGCTGAAGTACTTCAGTTCCTTTCGAAATGATTCCGATCGTTTCTGAAGTGAATCAATACATTCCGATGTTATTCCGAAATTTTGCAACGGTCCAATTCCGATTTTTGATTAAGTGATTCCGAACATTTCTGATGTGATTCAGTTCTTTCTTTAGTGATTCCGAATCTGTATGAAGTGATTTAGTATCTTTCGAAGTGATTCCGATTGTTTCTGAAGTGAAGCAGTACTTTCAAAGTGATTTCGAATTTTGAAACGTTCCAAATCCGTTTTTTTTTTTAATTAATTTATTCTGTACAGTCCGAAGTGATTCCGAATATTTCTGAAGTGATTTAGCTCTTTTTGTAATGATTACAAATGTGTATAAAGTGATTCAGTACTTTCCTAAGTAATTCAGGGCATTGCTGAAGTGCTTCAGTACCTTTCGAAGTGATTCCGATCGTTTCTGAAGTGTTCAGTACTTTCTGAAGTGATTCTGAATACTTCTGAAGTGATTTAGTACTTTTCGAAGTAATTCAGAATAATTCAGTACATTTCGAAGTGATTCCAATCCTCCACACTTTGAATGTAACAACTCAAGGCGGGAGTAGCCGTCAACAATGCTGATGATGGTACAGCACGCAACTACCACCCTACTGCTTTCTCTCTGAGATGATCACGTTGGTCATGACGAGAGGAGCAACACAATAGTTGGGTAAAGAAGAATTGCATTATAACACACCATCGACTGGAAATGCTCTCGCAACGTGGGGCTTTAGGTAGTGATGAAAACGTCGCTAGAACTATTCCATAGCCGCAGGCAGTTTATGAGCAAAAAGAGGGACGCACATTTTTGCCTGTGGACTTGGAGACATACTTCAAGTCCTCGCGTACATCGTACGGGTTAGGCAAAAATGTGCGTCTATCTCTAAAAACTGTCGCATTAATGGCCCTTCGCTCATTTTCAACTTCTATTCAATTTTCATACTGCCGTACTCTAACGGAACTATCCACCTACCCTCTTCTAAAGATCATTCTCTAGCTAATAAATCATCACACTAAAGCTTCATGTTAGCATTTCCAACCAACTCTGATTCCAATCGTTTCTGAAGTGAATCAGTACTTTCCGAAGTGATTCCGAAATTTTGCAACGGTCCGATTCCGATTTTTTATTAAATGATTCAGTACTTTCCAAAGTGATTCAGAACATTTCTAAAGTGCTTCATAACCTTTCAAAGTAAATCCAATTGTTTCTGAAGTGAATCAGTGCTTTCTGATGTGATTCCGATTTTTTGCAACGAACCAATTCCGATTTTTTATTAAGTGATTAAGTACTTTCCTAAGTGATTCCGAATATTTCTGAAGAGATTCAGTTCTTTTTTAAATGATTTCGAATGCGTTCGAAGTGATTCCGTACTTTCCGAAGTACTTCAGAGCATTGTTAAAGTGCTTCAGTACCTTTCGAAGTGATTCCGAACGTTTCTGAAGTGAATCAGTACTCTCCGAAGTGATTCCGTAATTTTGAAACGGTCCGATTTTGATTTTTTATTAAGTGCTTCAGAAGTTTCCGAAATGATTCCGGATATTTTTGAAGTGACTCAGTTCTTTTTGAAATGATTCCGAATCTGTATGAAGTGCTTAAGTATCTTTGGAAGTGATTCCGATCGTTTCTGAAGTGAATCAGTACTCTTCGAAGTGATTCCAAATTTTTGAAACGGTCCAATTAAGATTTTTTATTGAGTGATTCAGTACTTTCCAAAGTGATTCCGAAAATTTCTGAAGTGATTCAGTGCTTTCCCATGTGATTTTGATTTTTTTTCAAAGGTAATACTTTCTTGCCGAAGTGGTATGCAACTTTTCTTAATCTATTCAGAACTTTTCGAAGTTATTCCGATTAATTTTGAAGTTATCCCGAACATTCTGAAGTGATTCAAAGTTTCCAAAGAAACTTTAAATCTTTTATGATGTTAATCAGTAGTTTTTTAAGCTCCAAAGACGCAAATTCTATCATCCCCAAGCGTATATAGCAAGTTTTTCCGCTTATTCATATATTGTAAGGTTATGCAAAACTGTTTGGGGGTGGCGTAATATTCAAATGAGTGTTGAAATACTATTCTATGCGAGTCAATACTAATGATGGGTAGTGCGTCTCAAAATATCCTTGTCCAATTAATGATTTTTTAAAAGCTCATGTAAACAGCAAACTTAATAAATGACTGGATACTAAAAAATTGACAAAAATTGTACAAATAGAACATTTGAGACTGTAGACAATTTTTTAGACAGTATGTTGTTCTCATGACTATAACGTCTCGAGTTAAAGCACCTCTCAGACCAATATAAAAATTACTAGTATACGTTATGGACTAAATAATCTACACTGCAAATTTCAAGTCAAGTGGTATAATAGTTAAAACTTACAGCTGTTTATGAGTGTGCCATTTTTATCGAGTACACCCTTTAATATACTGATTTTCTGGCTGCCAAAATGTTCTATTCACTCTTCTAACCATATCTCATAAATCATACGTTCAAAGCATTTTCAATGTCTTGAAAAACAACAAATCCCAATATGGCTCTTTAATGTAGTTAGAATTACACAAATCTTATTTTGATAAATCTATTTGATTCTACATTTAAAACTTTTCCAAATGGCGGGTCAAAAACCTATCGAACTCGTTTGCTTTTGGAGTAATCTCCATTCAAAAATATAGATTCTAAAAATCTAAAAAAAATCCAGGGTTGTAGTCCAGAGAGAATCAAGTAGCAAAATCCAAAAAAAGGCATATTCTTAGAAAAAGGAGAAAGTCGACACAGATAATAGAAAATTAATCCTTTTGAATAGTTGTGCGAGAGGTCTTTGGTAAACAATTTTGTTGTCAGGGGTGAGACGATAAGAGGTACAGTAAGTGATGTAGACGACCTTAACAGGAAAAAATAGTTTATCCTTCCTAGTGCATTGAGGCCTGGATACACTGTGTAAATTTTTCCAAATGCATTAGGAAGGCTTAGGGTTTGGTTAAACTGAATTCTTTCTCATACATCAATTATTGATGAAGGAATGTTGTAAATATACCGCATGCATATGCATTGATTGAAACGTCCACTATCATGATCATAAGCTGTCAACAAAGATTAAAAACCCGTGCCCTCATCGTGCAGTCCATTCACTCGCCCTACAAATGCATTTCCTGAAATTGCTCCGCTTATCTTGATGCTATTCCGCATAGCTACAACCCATCCAGACGAGCGATAAACACAGTATTACATCGAACGATTAAGCAATCTGCTGATTGCCTTTCAAAGGCGGTGCACCGAGCTCGAACCGGAAATCCCTTTGAAAAGCTACCGTTAAGTACGAAAAGCAATAACCGATAAACCAAACGTTATCATTTCAGACCGTGTACCACAAAATCAACTACGTCGCCCCGAACGCCGCCCTCAAGGTGGCCACATTCGCTGCTCCGGCCCATTATGAGTACGCTGCCGCCGGTCCCGCTCTGTCCAAGGTAGTCATAAATCCGAATCACATTCTCACGCACACCCGAGTACATTGTCGGGAAAATGCAATTCCGTTCGATTTAATTTTCAATGCTTGTATTCCCTTTGCGCCCACCCACACAGTACAACTATGCCGCAGCGATTCCACAGTATCAACAGTACGCACACTACCCGCAGCAGACTTTCCAGCTCTTCCAGCATCACCATCAGGCTCCGGCAGGGGCTACAATCATCACAAATGCGGCAATCCACCCGTACTCGCAGCATCATCAGCAGCAAGCAACAATCTACGCCGGTCACCAGCCGACCGCTGTCCATTATACGCTGACTCAACCGGCTGTGCAGCATAATTATCCGCATCAATCGGACGGGCAGACTCAGGCTCTGGCCGGGACCATCCACTACCAGCAGCACCAGCACCCGCAGCAAACCTTCGTCGGAGTTCAGCCATCGGTTCCGGTCGTCCATCAGGCGCCAATAGCCGCCATCAATCAGGTGATTGCGACCCAGGCACAACTGGCCAAGGTAAGACAGTCATTATGCAAAAAGGCACACGCACCCAGGTAGCGGCTAATTCCCGGTGAATATTTATGCCATTCTCTCCTCCAAGCAGTACCCAGTCCCGACGGCGGCCGCCCCGATCTACGCATCCAACTCGCAACTGCAGAACCAGCTCTACCACCAACAAACGGCCAATTACGGTGAGTACATGTCTGTGTGTTTGTAGGTGTGTGCAAACGCGGTGATAAATCGGTCTTAACGGTTGTTCCGTTCGAATGTGGAAGTGTTTATTGTTTCATGCAGGGTCATTCCGAAAGCGGGACACGGTCCGTCGGTGCTCTCCGGAGAGTTACTACATGCTAATGTGAAGGGACTTTGACAAATAGATTTGCCATGATTGTTAAATGTCGTTGGAATATGTGCTAATTGGGTCGATTAAGTTGGACAGGTCAATCGCAGTCTTACGTCAAATTTCATGACGGTTGAGTGGAACGGAAATCGATTTGGATTCAATCCCCTGCCCCCAACAACTGTTCTATCAATTTCATTAGCAGTGTTAGAAATTTCTCTTAACGACACTTTTTCAATGGACTGCAGCGTAGAAGCAAGTTTTTCCAAAATGCATAGTATCGTATAAAACCTTTATGAGATGATTTTCTAGACACAGTGCATTTGGGGCAACAAACTTTGTTCGAAAAATTACTAAATTATTTTAATAATCTTCCGGCGACCATATTACAGAATCTGTTCATGTCGAGGCATGTTGCAAATTCTGCGTACTTTTCATTTAAATCTGTATTAGAATCCAACATTTCACGGTTGGATGTAACAGTTGTTCAACTGGGTTCGGGATGGGATGAAACTAAACCACACGCAAACTAAAAAAAGTATCACATTCAACGTTAGTTGCATTTCCTATCAAGCTCCGTAGTGAATACCGCAGAGAGGTATAGGTTGGCCATACAGACAATGTTATGATTTTGTACCTTTTGACGTAGGACTACGTCTGTGATTTCTATATGGGGGTACACTTTGTGGAAACCGTAAATGGAACATGTAACAACATTATGAAAGATTTTGAACGTTAATAAGTCAGCTGCCCCTGAACCAATTTCAATAACTTTATCACCATTCGATCAGAAATATTTCTAGGCATCTGTTAAATTTAACACTGCATCATTTTTCAAAATGTCACTATTGAAGATTACTCGAATGCGCAACTTTTGATATGATAATTAAAATTATTACCGACTGCCTGCGAAAAGCGATTTATCTAACACAGATTTCGAAGTTTAATTCCATCCGGTCTCACCAAACGGTGTTTATTCAATCACCGCGTGGTGAGTGGTGAGTGGTGGTGTCCTCCAGTACACAACGAAAGGCTCCCTGCAAGCAGCTATCTATCAAGGCTGGCCTCAACCGCTGATCGGATTCAGTTCCAATCACCGTGTGTGGTGGTGTCCGGTCGTCGGCATCAGCAGAAGCAGCAGTGCTTTCGGCGCGTGGCGTTGAACATTGTTCTCCAGTACGCAACGAAAGGCTCCCTGCAAGCAGCGAGCTGCAGCTCACATGAGCATCCATAGAAGGAGGAAGAAGCCGCACCGCTATTGATGGGAATCAGTAGCTCTTCGTGAGTCGCTGTGGGCCATCTATGCTAAGCGCGTCACCCTCATTCCAAACAACATACAGCTCACCAGCATCATATGTGTTGAACACCCTAATAGCTCAGCATTACTCAAAAATCACGCCCAAACGGTCCTTTCAGGATCACCATAAATTTGTAAAATAGTATTTTTTGGACATTTTTCAAGGTCATCAATCGGATGTCAGTTCCCATATCAAGAAAGAGCTGAAATTAAGGCGTAACAGCTTTTGGAAACAATGACTTCTTTCGATGATGTCTTGAAAGTCAAATCTCGCCCACGCAAATCAACGTCAACATGAGATAAGACTTCCATACCCGACGGTAATGTTGGTTTGCGTGGGCGTGTCTTGAATTTTTAAAAATTATCGAGAGAAGTCATTGCTTACAAAAGCTGTTACGCCTAATTCCAGTTCTATCTAGATATGTTTAAATCTAATATACCATGGGGGTGCAATTTCAAAAACCAAATTCGGTCGCGGTATGAATGTGGTCTGATTTTGATCCAGAGATGATGGGTTTTAATTCCTAATACGCCAATCGATAGGAATTTTTTCTACGAATCTGTTAAAATTACGTTTCGTTTTTAAAAATGTCACTATTGTAAATTACACGAATGTGCAACTGTTTGCTATGATATTTAACATCACAGACAGACTAACACAGATTTCAAAGATTAATTCCACCCGGTCTCACCAAACGGTGTTTATTCAATCACCGCTTGGTGAGTGGTGGCATTCTCCAGTACACAACGCAGCCTACATGAGAATCCATAGAAGGAGGAAAATGCCACACCGCTATTGATCGGGAGCCATACCGTGGCGGCCATCACGATGTGACTCAGTGCCAACGGTGTCTGAACTTTGGACACGACACCCGAAACTGCAACATTAAGCAAGCTGCGGCAATTGCGCTCAAAACAACGCCACCTCCGAATGTGCTACGGATAAAGATGTGGCGTCCAAATGTGCCAACTTTGGTGGTGTTCACAAAGGATCCGACAAGCAGTGCCCTAAACGCGAGGATTTCAAGCGCATCGAAAAACAGGCGTCCACCAACAATCAACCAGGACGAAGGAAGGACAAGGCCCCAGCTTTCAGAGTGGAGGACTTTCCGCCTCTTCATGGACAAGCGAATTCACGGGTACAATCCGCTCCTCCTCAAGAAACGTCTGGATCTTCTGCTGGACAAAGCTCTCCATCCACCCTGGATTCTGGAGACAACCAACAGCGCTATACAACAACCCCAACCTGTTCTCAGCGGATGAACCAATTAAAATTTTCGTCAAGCCCTAGCAGATCCAGGACTCGATAAGTTTATCGTCCAGTATTACATCGTCACCTGGAACACTTGCTCCTTGAGAGCAAAATCCATCGAGCTTGCGGAATTCCTAGGGGTAGTGTTGCGATCATCGTCAGGAAAGAATAAAATACCGCATACTGTCCCATATTCTCGCCTCTTTCACCGAGGCCCTTGGTGTGGAGGTGGAGTTTTCGACTGAATACATCCAGATCATCATCATTTACTGCCCTTGACAGTGTGCCGCAAATGCTGCTAAATTCAAGAAGGGCCTGTCCACCATCACCCGTACCGGTTACCGCTTCGTTGTTGGAGAAGATCTATATGCTCGCTATGCGGCCTGGCGGAACTACCAGCAGAACCAGAACGTTCGTCTGCTGTTCGACCACTCGCACTCCGTTTGGTTCTCGAACGTGCCAACATGCATCTCACCGGCGGCAGCCCACCGACGCTAGATCTGAACGAACTCAGCTCCGACCACCAACCGGTGGTGGCTGAACTGGGCTGCAATGTGGCTCCTGCTCCAAGTCTGCGCCAGGACTACCACCGCGTAAACTGGACGCATGGTAGACAGGCACATCATCGACAACCCGCCACTTGACACCGTGGAGAACATCGACTGAGTGTAAGGGGTACTCCACGAAGCCATAGCCGTGGCTGACGAGGCGTGCGTCCGAGGAGTTCTTGTGAGGAGTAAGTTTATTGCCACTGATTCCCACACCCAAATCTTGATTTGCCTAAGAAATATTCGTAGACGCCAGTTCCAAAGGACCGGAGATCTAGCGAGGAAACGTGAAATAGCCGATCTGAACAAGGAGATTGCGTCTAGAATGGTCTCACTCCGGAACGAAAGTTTCTGGCGGCTCGTCTGGAATCTGGAGAACCGCTCCAGACTATTCTGGAAGGGCTCCAAGGTTCTAAAGACGCACCCAAACCCATTCCACCACTCAAAGATGAATATGATGACAATCGGCTGATAATCACCCCTCAGAAGAAAGCAAATGCGATTGGTGAGCATATTGCCGAATCACACTTTCTTGGCTCCAACATCCAGAGTCCACTCAAAGATCAGGTGACACAATGTATACTCAACCTTGATTCCTTCCCTTGTGCTATCCCTCCGGAAGATAGGATCACAGTGGAACAGATTTGCTCAGCGCTGAAGTGCGCAAAAACATTCAGGCTGCCGGGTTCGACGGAATATTCAAAATAATGTTGAAAAACCTCAGCATGAAGATTCACTCTCTGCTGGCCGCTGTCTTCAACAGATGCTTGGAACTGCACTACTTTCCAAGTATCTGGAAAACAGCGAAAATCATACCTATCCGCAAACCCGGGAAGGACCTAACGTTAGCTTCAAACTACAGACCGATCAGCCTCCTTTCAGCGCTGAGCAAATTGCTCGAGAAACTTATTCTCAATCGTTTGCTCAAGTTTGTCGAGGAACACAACATTCTCCTACCGGAACAGCTTGGTTTCAGGAAGGGACACTCCACAAATCATCAGCTAGTACTTGTCGGGTCGAGCCTAACTCCGGCCCTGTTGTATTATAAAATAAAGAACAGTAGAAACATGGCAACCCTGATAAAGTCATGTGAGGTACGTGGGATTTCCGGATAGGGAGAGAAGAGAGCGAACGTTGAGAGTACGAGGTTGTATTAGATGGTTCGAGAAAATAAAAAGTGATAAATCAGAAGTAACAACGCATGTTTAATAGGTTGAATACATCCGAAACTCAACAGTACTGGTGATAAATAACGTCTGAAGTAACAAAGTTGTATCCAAGTCCACAGCTATGGCCTTGCTAGACGTCGAAAAGGCGTTTGATAATGTTTAACACAAGGGCTTGTAAACAAGCTTTGTAACTTCAAACTTCCTTTGCATATTGTTAAGATCACCCGTAGCCACCTTCAGCAACGGTCGTTCAGGGTATCGTTGAATGGCTGCCTGTCAAACACGTTCCCAGCAGGAGTTCCGCAAGGAAGTCTGTTGGACCCTTTCCTTTACAGCATTTACATGTTGGAACTATTTATTGGCGCAACAAGAGAATCGTCCATAATCTCGCAAGCAGGACTTACCCGTTCGACGGTCGACTAGTGAAAGAGCGAGTGCTTGACTTCGCTGCACAATCGAGGCCCTAATCTATCGGAAACCGTTCGAGGCCCGAGCAGACGTGATGCCAGATAGTTGGAGTTATCTATTGGTAGCCCTGTGGCTGATGGTGTTTAGCAATAGGGATAAACCGAGGGGTTATTCAAT